TTATCCAGACACTTTAAGCTCCAAATGGATGGTTTAGCAGGAACATTTGGAGTATTGTGTGCAAATCTGTTCTCCCTCCTGTAGGAAGGATGTTGTGAAACTAGAAAGGGTTCAGAAAAGATTTACGAGGGTTTTGCCAGGGTTGGAGGGTTTGGGCTATAGGGAGGAGCTGCATAGGCTGGGGCTATTTTCCTTAGAATGTTGGAGGCTGAGGGGTGACCTTATAGACCTTTTTAAAATCATGAGGGGCATCGATGGGGTAAATAGGCAAGGTAATTTCCTTGGGGTGGGGGAGTCCAAAACTAGAAGGCATAGGTTTAAGGTGAGAGGGTAAAGATATAAAAAGAACCTAAGGGGCGACTTTTTCACGCAAAGGGTGGTGCACATATGGAATAAGCTGTCAGAGGAAGTGGTGGAAGCTGGTACGATTACACCATTTAAAAGGCATCTGAATACATGAATAGGATGGGTTTAGAGGGATATGAGCCAAATGTTGGCAAATGGGACTAGATTTATATAGAATATCTGGTCAGCATGGACAAGTTGAACCAAAGGGTCTTTTTCCATGCTGTTTATTTCTATGATTATATGGATCTAAGTTCTCAAGGTTCTTCCTTTCGAAGATGCCTCAGAAAAATCAGAGGAGGCTAAGTGCATTTTTTTTTGTCTGATCAGGGTTAGAAATTGTGGTTGAAAGAAATGCAAGTAAGAAGTACTTGATAGTTTAAAAAAAATTGTTTTTTCCCTTTGTTCAAATCGATTCCAGCCTTCACTGGTGTCCAGCATCAGGATGCTCAAATCTGTTACTTTAGTTACAACAGGTAAAGATTTCACCAAATGTGCAATTCCCTATTGTGGTCACAAAATCACCAGAAGTGAGTGACTGGTTCCTGTGGTTGTCAAATCTCCTGCCGATGATCAGGCAGGCTCACTCTATCTCTATCCCCCTCTTTCTCCCGTATGAACGAGCAGCAGGAGTAGGCCATTCGGCCCCTCAATCCTCTTTCTTTCTTTAGTAAAGTCATGGCTGATCGGGTTGCAAGGACAAATCTACATTTCTGCCAACTCCCATAATCTTTGACCCCCATCCACCTCTGCCTTTAAAAATATTCAAGGACTCTTCTTCCACTTCCTTTTCAGGGAGAGAGTTCCAAAGACTTTTGACCCTCTGTGAGAAACAATTTCATCTTGCCCCTTCATTGGGTGACTTTTTCTTTAAAATTGTAACCCCTGCCTTCTTTTTCTCCCTTTATCTACGATTTCTATCCCACAAGGTCGTTTTCCATTGTGAGTGTAGTTCAGATCTCCAATATGTTAAATTTTTTACACACCTTTTTAAAGGATGGAATTAGTTTATTATATTGACAAGCCATACCAGGCTACGAAGCTTCCTTTAAAAGCACAAGACCCAATTGTATTCCGCATCCTTTGTTTAAAGTAAAATAAACATTCACCCATAAAGCTGTCCACATTTCATTCTTCTACTTTCTCTAGTAACTTTCCATTCTGTGAAGCCCCTTTACAGCCAGTTAACTCACATGACATACTAGTTGCATACTTCACAAGTATTACTTTAAGCATCAGAATGTTGAGTGAATCAGATTTTCACATAAGACTTGTTGTGCAAATTGCTCCACACAAGCTTCCTTCCATTCTCTTTTATATCACCTTATCAACATAACCTTCTGTTGCTTTCCACATCATTAACTTATCCCTTTCCACGATTAATCTGTTATTGGTCTCAACTGTTCCGTGTGGTGGTGAGTTCCATGCTCAAGCCATGGATGAAGAAGTTACTCCTGCAGCTAGGGCTTCTATTAAAATTACATGTAGTCACAGTGGATAAGAAAGATATGTTAGTGCTCAGCCTTCTAGGCTGTGGGCACACTGATCGCACCATTCTGCTGCATCACCTCTTCAATGTCGTTTGGCTGAATGGGACTGCTTTTACCTATTTCCATTCTTATTCTGCTAATCATAACCTGTAGTAGCGTGTCTTCCTACTCCAATGCTGTTCATATCTGGTGTCTCCCAAGGATCTAACCTTGGCCCCTTCTGTTCCTCAGCTACACTCTGCCCCTCAGTGATACCATCTGAAAACCTAACCTTCATTTCCACACGTACACTGACAAGGCCCTGCTCTACCTCACCACTACCTCTCTTTACTGCATCACTGTGTCTAAATTTTCAAGATGCTTGAGTCTGACACCCCCTACTGAATGAGTAGAAAGTTTCTCTAGACAAAGACAGCCACTACTTCCTCTCCTGTCTTTGCACCCTTCCCTGAACTTTGGTCTTAGGCCACTGATATTAACCTTTTCCCTAGCAACCGACCGTGAGTCAGTTGTAGAAAAGTCATATCAGTCACTAAGCACCACCTCTGTTTCTCTCACCAGAGATGCTAGATCTGCTGAGATTCTCTGGCACTTTCAGTTGCTATTAATTGTTGGATTTAATAGTGACCTATCTTATATTTATGTTGTCTAAATATGGACCTCCCAGAAGGGCAAACATCTTCTCTACATCTATGCCATCAGGTAAGTCAACTCCCAGCCTTCACTCTGTAAGGAACTTCAACCTTTTCATCCTCACAGATGAAGGAATTTTAGGGGCAATGTTCCATCCACATCCTCAAATATACACTTCCTTCATGACTAACGCTTAGTAGCAGTCGTATGTACCATCTGCAAGACACATTGCGGTGCCTCACCAATGATCTTTCAACACGACCCACAACCTTTACCATTCAGAAGGACAAAGGCAACAAATGAATGGGAGCACCACCACCTGCAGGTCCCCTCCAGGCCACATAACCCACTGACCTCAAACTATATCCCCATTCCTTTGCTGTCACCAGGTCAGTTCCTGGACTTTCTCCATAATAGCAGCATGGGCAGCTGTACATGCCTTGGAATATGGCAGTTCAGGAAGGCAACGCACTATCAGCTTCTTGAGGGGAACAAATGCTGGTCTAGCTCCACAGACCTGCTTTTGACCCCTATCCCTTAATATCTTTACTTAACAAAAGTTTATTGATCTCACATTTAAAATTAACAACTGATGCAGCATCCACTGCTATTTGTGGAAGAGAGTTCCAAACCTCTCCCACTCTTTGTGCGTCAAAGTGCTTCCTAACATCTCTTTTGAATGGCTTGGCCCTAATTTTCAACTGTGCTCCTAGTTCTAGAATCCCGAGCCAGTGGAAATAATTTATTTTTATCTCCCATTAATGTCTTGAAGATATCAATTAGATCACCCCTTAAACTTCTAAATTCTAAACAAAACAGTCCTAATTTGTATAATTTGTACTCGTAACTTAACCCCTGATGTCCAGGTTCCATTCTTGTAAACCTATTTCATACTCCCTCCAAGGCCAATATCTCCTTTTGAGGGTGTGGTGCCCAGGTCGGATCTCAGTGCTCCACATGACACTTAGTAAATCCACCAATAAAAAACCAGGAGTGCCTGGTGCCTGTAATCTCCAGACATTAGTTCCTTCAAGTGCAAAATAGCATTGGGAACACGGACTTCAGCATTTATCAAACAGGGTAGTCCTGGCTATATTTAACCTCAACCAATGTTGCTGAAACCATTATCTGGACATTGTCTTATTACGGTTTGTGGGAGTTTGTTGAGTGCAGTTGACTGCCTTGTTTACAGCACTTCAAAATATTTAATTAGTTGTGAAGATTGTTGGGTTGTCATGGGGTTGTGTAAGGTAGTATATAAATCAAGTCAATTTTTTATTTTTAATAGTTCCATAGTCAGGACGTGGAACTTCTCAAATCATGCAGCAGTGTCAAACTGTATAAAGAGAGAGATGTGGATATCAAAATCTGACATTTCACTTTCTGGCTGTGTCTCACTTTAGTATTAAAAAGGCAACAGTGGTTTAATGTTTTTAAAAATATAAAACGTCTTTCAATCTGCAAGCGTTCCTCAACAATTAGCACTTAAACTCTGAACAACCTGAGGTCATGCTTATTGAGAACCATGCAAACAGATCTAATTAAGTACTAAAACACAAATTGCTGGAGAAACCTAGCAGGTCAGGCAGCATCTGTAGGGAGAAAAATGTTAACGTTTTGGGTCTGGTGACTCTTCGTCAGAGTTAATTAAGTACATTTAATTGTCATTTGAATAATGTGAGATTATGCTGAAGACCACCACTTCTCCTCAGGAAGTCATAGAATGAAATTCTAAGGTTAATCACAAAGTGTAGAATATTAGACCAGTAAGTACCAATGGGCCTCTATCTCCTTATCTAGAGTATTGTGTGCTGTACTGGGCTCCATGTTATATGAATAACGGTGTTGAGAAATAAGAAGGGGTCCAGTGTAGATTCACTGGGATGAGGCAATGGATATGCATAGAAAGACTTGAAAAGCACTCGATTTAGTAGAAGTACTAAGAGGAGTGGAATGGGGAAATGGCAGTCAACAGTTTTAAGCAGTTGAGAAGTCATACACAGATGAATGAGAATAAAAGCTTTCCTGTACAGGCTGGAGAAATATCTTTGTTAAGGGAATCGAGAGACTGGAGACATTGCTCCTTCAGTTGGTGCCTGAGTCAAAGTCTGCCTCAACGTTTTGGATGGATGGAGAGATAATAGTGGAAGAATGGGTATGTGATGAGGGTAAACACTGGTGTGAGTTAATGGACTGAATTCCATGTTTTTGTCCCATGACTTCTATATGGCGTAACACCCCTGTCAGAAGGATCAATCATTGTTCACTGTGAGTACAATGTCATCAGAGATAACTTCCATAAACACAACATTGCTTTATTGCTTTGTACTGATTAATGTAATAATATGTTGTACAGTATTTGAAGCTGCTTAAGTCAAATGTAATTTGTTTACTGTGTTCCCTTGCCAGCTAAAGATCACATATTACAGTACTGAATGTTCAAACAGCTGTCAGCTTTGTATGTTCTTGGGCCTCCTGTGTTGTATTGGTCAGCAGATGGTAATTCAATAAGACCTGCTTTTGTTTTTACACAGATGGAGCATTATGACGTATGAAATAAAAATACCACCGAAACATGCCCTGGCAGTGACCCCAGAGGAGGATGCTGAGGAATCCCAAGTGAGTCTTTAGCATTGCGAAATGCACACAAGCTTTGAGTTACAGAACATCATTTTGCTCAGATCCAGAATGGGAAAGAATGAATCTGGTAAGGCTGGATTCCTGTCCACGTGCCTTACTTCATGGACATTTGCTCCATTACAATTCATTGTTGCAAAAATCAGGAGCATTGTGAACCAAGCAGACTAAATAGGAATGAAGCTTGGGGAAATTTAGCCTGAGTTTTTGAAAATGGAAGTTTTATTTTTTTATGGATAATATTGAGATGTATTGGCGTAAACTAAGCCAGAGATCCTTTCAGTTGAATAATCATAATATTGGATAGATTTGGTCTGCAATTACCAGTACAGATACTTTGGATGCACTGTGAAGCTTGAAAATGTTGTGATGTGTAGATATTAATCTGGCAGGCTGTCCTGCAGCGATTGCTTCTGCTTGAACATTTTGATGATGCATTTACAAACCCAGCAAAGCAAGGCTGAATTAGAGAAGTTAGGAGGAAAGAACAAAATGGGAGATCCGTGATACAGTGGAGGACAGGAGAATTTAAATGATAAAACAAGCAAGGTGTAATTGAATGTATTGGGAATATCAAAACATAAAGGATGTGTAGAGCATCTGTAAATCATTATGGTCGGATCAAAGAACGGAATGAAAACTTGAAAAATGTGACAGAGAGAAATAGATACGCCCAATTGGTAAGGGAATACTGGTAGTATTTCGGGCTAGAAGTTGAGGTCCCATCTGCTGTTGGAGGTGTGTCATATCATGTCCAAACATGTTAAACAGAATAACAATACCCAATGGGTGAGGGTCACTTTGTAGGCTATAGATATTTTCTAATGAACCCCTTCAGAGATGTTACTTCACACCTCTGGAGCAGGTGGGACTTGCACCCACGCCTCCTTGCTCAGAGGTCGGGATAGTGACAATGCCACTTCCTGTGTATATATCTGCTACTGCTCCTCAGTTGAGAAACAACACGCTTGAAACACTGATAAATTGGGAAGACCAAACACAGACTGTGTCACCAATTTGTGGAACACCTTCTTTCAGTTCACAGTAATGACCCTGAGCTTTCTGTTACTGGTCATTTCAATACTAGTCCCTCTACCTTGCTTACACTTGGATCTTTTTATGTCCTCCTTCTAGTGCGGTACTCCAGTGAAGCTAATGCAAGCTCCAGAAACAACACCTCACCATTTGAATCCTTCTGGATTCACTAATGAATTCAGCTACTTCCACTTATGACCTTTTTATTTTTTGTTTCTTTCTTGCGAGATCGGTTTTAGTGGATCATTTCTTTATTCCTTCACTTTGTAGTTGGATGGCCGCTTTCCAGTCATTTGCTCTCCATCTAGACACCTCTTTTGATTCTGCACCTGTCCGATTGGCTTTTGTACCATGATGCCTTATGTCACATTTTCACTCCTGCCACTTACCCTATCACAGATCTTCCCTTCTGCTTATCCGGACTGACTTAAAATCTGTCATATTTCTATCTTCCTTCATTCATTTGTTAAGAAAGGCCATTGTCTTGAAAGGTTAACTCTGTTTCTCTCCACAGGTGCTGCCTGTGTATTTTCAGAGTATTTTCAGTATCTATTTTTATGCAGGTTCTGAGGACAGTGGACGACAGTCAGGATATTGTGAACATGGGTATATTTAGGAGACATGTTGCACTTCTGTCATGATGAATATAATTGAAGATAAATCTCATCAGATGTCTGGAATTTTTGGCCAATCCAGTGCATCCGGGATGTCTAACTTTTTCCTCTCAGTTGCAGATATCAGCCTATGAGGATTCAGTTGCTGCTCACCTCACCAAAATCCTCAACTCCGACCAGCACTCGGTTGTAATATCGTCTGCCAAGTGAGTTGCTTGATGCGTGAAATATCTGTGCAAGAATGTTAGTCAGCTTCCTGACTTATACAGATCTACATGGGAAGAATCAGAAGTGATTAATGTATTTGATATATTATCTGATCCATGAGAAAGACTCCCCATGCAGCACCATTGCTATGTGAGGTCTCTTCCTTTGAATCAGATGTGAGTAGGATAGGCAGTCTTATTATTCAACATTTGAATTTCTATTGTTTATTCATGCTCCCTGAACCTTTTTGGGTTTTTTAAAATCTTCTTTGCTCTGACAGTGTGAACTTTATGTAATTGATTTGATTAGGGGTTGGTAGGTTGATCCCTGATTTCACGTGCCACCAGGATTGAGTTAACTCTGTGTGCAAGAGAAGGAAAACAAGTATAATAACTTTAGAGCCACCACTTCCCAGCAAAGTGTAGGGCAGTAGTAAGCCATTCAGCCTCTCAGACCAGTTCTGCCAATTGTAATGGATTGGATCTTAATTTACCTGCAATGGTTCCATAGCTATTAATATCATTCCTAATCTCTCAATCTCAATTTTAAAAATTTCAGCTGACTCCCTAGTCTTAACACCTTCCTAGGTGGACAGAGGTCAAGATCTCAATTGCCCTTAGCGTGAAAAGAAATACATCACAGTTGAATGGCCCAGCTCTAGTTTTTGAGGTAATATTCCCTAGTTCTGACTGCCAAATAGGGACAATGGTTACTCTTTGTCTACTCTATCAAATTATTTAATCATCGTAAACACCTCCACATGATTGACCCTCAATCTTCGGCTCTCAAGGCAAAATAAGCCAAATCTATATGATTTATCCTCACAGTTTACCTCCTTTAGCCCTAGTTTAAGTCTTGTGAGTTAGACAGGTGAAACATAGAGTAGGCTAAATGCTCAGAGCAGGCTGCTGTCTACTTGTTTTGAAAAACAATTAAGCTACATGTGTTTATTTACCTGCTAGAAGGTGAAAACACAATGTCGCAAAAGTACATGTACACAATTATGGATTTGCACAACTATGTTTTACAATTCAGAAGGTGTTAAAATGATATTGCACAGCTTCAAACAGTCGTTCAAACAATGGGAAATAAACTGGCTACATTCTAGGTTTATTCTTTAAAGTTCAATTTGAGCTTTCTCCTCAAGCCTTGAGCAAAATAATTTAACAAAAGCAAATCTCATTTCCTTCAACTATAAAAGAACTGAAAGGTTTTAGAGATGCATAGCTACAATGTGCATAGTCTAAAGGTAACAAGTTGCTTCAAAACAGACAAGGGAGCTGTGCTGACCTCTAATACAGAGGTTTATGTTGTGATAAAATGTTTTAGTTCTGCCTTTGGTTAAGAAATTTCCCTGCTGCATTCAGTATGTTGCTTCGTAAAATAATCTATCCAAATGAAAATATGAAGCAATCATGTTTTTCTTGAACAAATAAAGCTAACGGTCAACTTTAGCACATTGATGTGACCTCTACATTATTAATGTGGCCGTCTCTAGAGCACTTACCCAGTGAGAAGATCAGGAATTCATCTGGACGAAATGTATCTCCATTAAATTTTATTTGCTTTATTGTTTTCCATGATGAAGTAAGGTTCCACAGTGCGAGGGATAAGTACTGCAGGGAATTTGTGACAAATGATTTTTTGACAACAGGCATCAGTGCCCAAATCAGTGCAACAACTACTCGCATGCAATGAAAGGGTGAGGACTGTTTTAATGAAATAAAAACAGAAAGTGCTCAAGAAACTCTCCAGGTCGAGCAGCATCTGTGGAGAATAAAATGGAGTTAACATTTTGTGTTCATTATGATTCTTCTTCAGAACTGAACTGAAGTTTTGAATTAGAGCTATATTGGATTTGAAACATTAACTGTTTCTCTCTCCACAGACGCTACCAGACTTGCTGCATTTTACCTGAAGTTCATGTTTTTATTTTAGACCTCCAGCATCTGCAGTACTTTGCCCTTTCTTGTTCTGTCTTAATGACTTGTATTATGTCTTTTGATGTCATCATTTTGATCACTGACGTAGTGAAAACCCAGTCGAAGAACTAGAGAATCATAGAGTTATACAGCACAGAAAAAGACCCTTCGGTCCAACTTGGCCACACCAACTAGATATCCTAAACTGATATAGTCCCATTTTCCAGCATTTGGCCCATATCCCTCCAAACCCTTCCTCTTCATGTACCCATCCAGCTGCCTTTTAAATGTTGTAATTGTACCCACCTTCTCTGGCAGCCTGTTTCATACATGCACCTTGGCTATTCACCCTATCCATGCCCCTCATGATTTTATAAACCTCTATAAGGTCACCCCTCAGCTTCCAACACTCCAGGGAAAATAGCCCCAGCCTATTCAGTCTCTCCCTATAACTCAAACCCTCTAATTCTGGCAACATCCTTGTAAATCTTTTCTGCATCCCTTCAAGTTTGACAACATCCTTCTTCTAGCAAGGAGACCAGAACTGAATACAGTATTCTAAGACTGACCTCGCCAATGCCCTGAACAGCCACAACACCACATCCCAACTCCTATACAGGTATTTCTCCTATAATGCAATAGTTATGTTCTAGTGTGACCTCGCACAAAAGAAAATTGCATTGTAGAAAGTCGCCTTAGAAAATCAGGTTGCAAGGAAATCGCTATACTTGTACAGCAGAAAGTTCACATTATCCAAACAGCATCCACAATTCATCCATCGCATTACAGCCAATTTGCGTTAATGAAACACACGTTATAGCTGAAATACCTGTACTTAATTCACTGACCGATAAAGACAAGGATACCAAATGCCCTCCTTCGCCATCCTGTCTACCTGTGAAGCCTCTTTAAGAAGCTATGCATCTGCGCCCCAAGGTCTCTTAGTTTGGCAACACTCCTAGGGCCTTACCATTAACTGTTTAAGTCCTGCCCTGGTTTGTCTTACTAAATTGCAGCACCTCACATTTATCTAAATTAAACTTCATATGCCACTCGTCAGCCCGTTGGCCCATCTTATCAAGATCCTGTTGTACTGTGAAATAATTTCCTTCACTGTCCACTACACCACCAATTTTGTTGTCATCCGCAAACTTACTAACCATACCTCCTATAATTACATCCAAATCATTTATGTAAATGATGAAAAGCAGTGACCCAGCAACAATCCATGCAGCACAGCACTGGACACAGGCCTATAGTCCAAAAAACAACCATCATACCATCACCCTCTGTCTCCTACCTTCAAGCCAATTTTGTATCCAATTGGCTAGGTCCCCCTGGACACCATGTGAACTAACCTAGATAACCAGTCTACCATGAGGAATCTTGTTGAACACCTTGCTGAAGTCCATATATACAATGTCTACCGCTCCAGCTTCATCAATCTTCTTTTGTCACCTCTTCGGTACACTCAATCAAGTTGGTGAGACATGATTTCCATGCACAAAGCCATGTTGACTATCCCTAATCAGTCCTTGCCTTTCTAAATGCATGTAAATCCTGTCCCTCAGAATTCCCTCTTGCAACTTGCCCACCACTGACATCAGGCTCACCAGTCTGTAGTTCCTTGGCTTTTCCTTACTGCCTTTGGTAAGGGGACAGGAGATAGCTTTGGCAAATAGGATTCAGGAGAATCCAAAGAGATTCTGCAAGTATGTAAAGGGCAAAAAAGTAACTAGGGAGAGAATAAGACCCCTTAAAGATCAACAAGGCTGTCTATGTGTGAAACCACAGGAGATGGGTGAGACACTAAACAAGTACTTCATGTCAGTATTTGCAGTGAAGAAGGAATTGGAAGCTAGAGAACTTTGGGAAATAAATAGTCATCATATCTTGAAAAGTATCTATGTTACAAAAGAGAAGATGCTGGGTGTGTTAAAATGCATAAAGGTGGATAGATCACTATGACCCGATCAGGTTTATCCAAGACCTATGTCGGAAGCCAGGGATTTGGTTGTTGATCCCCTTGCTCAGATATTTGTATCATTGATTGCCACGGATGAGGTGATGGAAGACGAGAGGTTGGCTAATGTGGTGTCATTATTTAAGAAAGGTGGTGAGGAAAAGCCAGGGAACTATAAACTGGTGAGCCTGATGTCAGTGATGGGCAACTTGTCGGAGGGGATTCTGAGGGTCAGGATTTACATGCATTTGGAAAGGCAAAGACTGATTAGTTTACTTTTAGAATACTGTGTTCAAATATGGTCTCCCTGCTATACAAAAGATTTTGTTAAATTCGAAAGCATTCAGAAAAGATTTACATGGATGTTGCCGGGGATTAGAGGGTTTGAGCTGTAGGTAGAGGCTGAATAAGCTGAATTTTCCCTGGAGCATTGGAAACTGAGGGATGATCTTATAGAGGTTTGCCAAATCATGAGGGGTGTGGAAAGATTGAATAGCCAAGGTCTTTTTCCCAGGGTAGGAGAGTTCAAAGCTAGAGGGCTAGGTTTAAAGTAAGGGGAGGAAAGATATAAAAGCGACCTGAGGGGCAGCGTTTTCACACAAAGGGTGGTGTGTGTCTTGAATGAGCTGCCAGAGGAAGTGGTGAAAGCGGGTACAGTTATAACATATAAAGGCATCTGCGTGATTACATGAATAGGAAGGATTCAGAGGGGCTTGGGCCAAAAGCTGGCAAATGGGGTTGGATCAGTTTAGGCTATCTGGTCAGCATGGACGAGTTGAATCGAAGGGTTTGTTTCATGCTGTATGACTCTGTAAGCCACCCTGCAGTCTTCTGGCACCTCACCCATGGCTGTTGAACATACAAATACCTCAGCAATCTCTTCCCTTGTAGTTTGAAAATTCTTCAAGATAACCATGCAGTATTGAGGAATTCAAGATTAATTTCCAGAACCGTAAAAAAAAAAACAATTCAGCAATGTACAATAATACTTTTACACAGAAAATTATTTGGATCACCTTGTTTGTTAGTTCAAGAAATATTAAACATAGGAAAAAGGGTTGTTTGACTGACATTCAGGTAATGATTGGCTTTATGAAGGTGGTATGCCATGAGAATGGATGCATTGTGGAAGTGATCTTTGGTGGTGGGAAATTAGTTTGTAGACCTCCAGACGTTCTTTGAGCCAGATTTGGTAACTGGATTAAAGTTACAGAGCTGACGTAATCCAACCAATTTTCATATTTTGTCTGTTAGAATCCTGTGCGAGACTGTGAAGGACTTTGTTGCCAAAGTTGGCAAATCATATGAAAAGACCAACGAAAATACAGAAGAGAGTGAAACACTGGCCAACAAAGTAAGAGTTAAGACATGTATTATTTTGAGGAACTTTGACTGTTGTGCATTGCCAGAGCACATTGTGAAACAGAAGCAGTATAAAATTCTGATGGGCGTAGTTTGCCAATTGCAGAGAGATACTTGAGGCCATGGTGCAGGGCGTAACAAAGGAGCCAATGTGATATCCAAATAAGGCTCCATTCACACTCATTTTTATTTTGGAGAAGAGCTCTCTCCACTGTCCTAATTGATATTTATCCCCGCCACTAATAAAGATACTTACTGGCCATTTTTCACATTGCTGATCACAGAACTTTGCTGAAAACAAATTGGCTGTTGCATTTCCTAATTAAACTTCAAAGTGTCTTGTTGTTTGTACACTTCTTTGGGACCACCCCGGTCTCCGATAATGTGAAAAGCCCTGCTCTAACGCTCTTTGTTCTGCATTCTGAATGCCTAATCCAGTCATACCATTAGCTTCTATTTCAAAAAAGTTAATTTCTGCTTAAAAATAGTTCGAACAATTTGTTAAGTGACCAGGCAGACAGTTTACTAATCACAGTTTCTGCCTTGTGTATGATTGAAATGGTAGATTTTGTGAGATTGTTTGATGGTTGGGATCCATTTGTGGCCATCCTTTCAGTTATTAACACGCTCTTTCTTTACCCATCGCAATGCTTGTCTCTAGAACCTTCAAACGCACATTCATCTAATGCAACAAGTCACCATTTTAGTAAAAATGGTGTTGAGTTTAAAGGCTGAGGAGCTCCGTGTGAATACCTAACTGTTTGATACAGTTAGTGAGTGGGGCTGAACATGGCCATCCACTATTTAGGACTACAGATTGTGAGACATTGTGATTTAATGCTCAAGGCATGTACAACAGGTAAGATCAGGCTAATATCCCATGTAATTTTGCTCGGATTGCATTAATGCATTCAAATGGAATGAAAACATGAAAAAGCTGCAGATCATAATTTAAGCCTACCCACAATATGGACCCCTTTTGACAACATCCTGGAGCAGAAATCCTAGGGTGTAACGTATATTCTGGTACACCACAATTGACAAATATGTGCATAAACCTGATCAGAGAAAATTTTTTCTGAGTCATAATAACTTACATTTTTATTTGTTCTTGTAATGTGAGCATCTCTGGCTGGGCCAGCATTTATTGCCCATCTCTAATTGCCCTTGAGAAGGTGGCGGTGAGCTCTCTTCTTGAACCGCTACTGTCGATTTGGTGTAAAGATCCCCACAGTGCTGTTCAGGAGGGAGTTCCAGGATTTTGATCCAGTGGCTCTGAAGGAACAGCAATATATTTCCAACTTATGATATGGCCTGGAGAGGAACTTACAGGTAGTGGTGTTCCCATGCATCTGCCACCCTGTTGTTCTAGTTGATAGAGGTCATGGGTTTGGAAGATGCTGATGAAGGGACCCTGGTGAATTTCTGCAGTGCGTTGTGTACAGTGCTTACCATTGTGTATTGGTGTTGGGAATTAATGATGATCATAGTGGATAGTGTGCTAGTCAAGTGGGCTGCTTTATTCTGGATTGTGTCAAGCTTCTTGAATGTTTTTGGAGCTACACCCATCCACGCTTTGGAAATCATGAGTGAGTTATTAATAAACCACAGATGTAACGTCTCTGTTCAAAAAAGGCAGAAGACAGAGCAGGAAACTATAGTCCAGTTCGTCTAAAATCTGTCATTGAGAGAACTGTTAAAATCTATTATTGGAGAGGTTGTACCAGGACATTTAGAAAACTGCAGTGAAATCAGACAGTCGGCATGATTTTAATAAAAGGAAATCTGTGAAGGTGTAACAAGGAAGTAGATAAAGGACAGCCAGTAGATGTGGTATTTTTGGATTTCCAAAACCGTGCGATTACTTCAAATGCCAAGTGGCCAGTAAAATGGCTAGTGGCCCACGCACAGATGGGGGCTGGTGCTGTCAACTGGCCGCAACACATTTCTCTGCACACATGCAGTGAAGTTAGCACCAGTGTGTGAGCCGACTGCCCCACCTTCATTTCAAAATAATTAAGTTGTAAAACCACAACCAAATTAAATCAGTATGTGATTGAAACAGTTTGTTTATTTTGGATCCATTTTGTTATTCACAGGATGAGTGTTACCACATTATTGGAAAAAAATTACATATAGGTTCCAGTGAAATCACACAAGTACAAGTGTTTCTGCTTATGCATGCTGGTTATTCTACCTGGTGATGACGTTCACAATAAACAAAAGCCTTTCCAAAAAGCATTCAATAAGGAGTTTTGTAAAAGGCTACAATACAAGAGCTTCTGATAATGAGAGGGGTGGGGTGCGGGTAGTCCACTAGCATAGATAGAGAATTGGCTAATGAACAGGAATCAAATAATTGGGATAAAATAGATAATTAGCAAACTGTAACAAATGAAATGATATGGGGGTCAGTGCTGGGGCCACAAATATAGAACATAGAACATTAAAGCCACAGAAACAGGTGGTTCGGCCCACGTGTCTGTGCCGATCATGATGCCATTCGAAATTAATTCCATCTACCAGTCCATGGTCTGTATTCCTCTATTCCCTGCGTGTTCATATGTCTGTCAAAATGTCTCTTAAAACTTTGCAATTATATCTGCTTCTACTACCCGGCAGCACATTCCAGGCACCTTCTTTAAACTTCACCCTGCTCACTTTAAATCTATACCTCTAGAATTTGTCATTTCCACCCAGGAAAAAAGATACTGTCTATGAAAAACACTCCACCCTATTCACGCCGCTCATGTTTTATATGTTTTGATCAGGTCACCCCTCAGCCTCCAGCACTCTAGCAAAATCAATCCATGTTTGTCCAACCTCCTCTTATAGCTAATACTGCGCTTGCCAAGACTGCAAGAAACTACAGAGTCATGGACACAGCCCAGCCCATCAGACAAACTAGCCTTCCATCCATTGACTCCATCTATACTTCCCACTGCCTTGGGAAAGCACCAACATAATCAAAGAACCCTCTGAGCCCTGACTGGTAGAAGTTATAAAGGTTTGATTATACGTACGAACACATTGAAGAACAGCTTCTTCCCCGCTGTTATCAGACTTTTAAATGGACCGCTCAAATGTTAAAGTTGATCTCTCTCTCTCTACCTATCTCTGCACCCTATCTGCAGCTGTAACACTGTATCCTGCACACTGTTCTGCTACCCTAATGTACTTTGTATGGCATGATCTGCCTGTAGAGCATGCAATAACAATGTTTTTCACTTATTGTGACAACAATAAATCAAACTCGAATACACGTCAATCCATGCAACATCCTGGTAAACCTCTTTTGTACTTTCTCCAAAGCCTCCACATCTTTCCTATTGTGTGGCAACCAGAACTGCACACACATTCCAACTGTGGCTGAATGAAAGTTTTATATAGCAACAAGATGAACTGCCAACTTTTATCCTCAAGCCCCAAATTATGAAGCCAAAATTGCTGTATGCCTTCTTTACCACCTTATCCTCTTGTGTTACCACTTTTTCCCTCTGTATATCATTGCTCTTAAGGGTCCTGCTATTTACTGTATACTTTCCTTTTGGTTTTGACCTCCCAAAATGCATCACCTCACACTTGTCTGGATTAAACACCATCTGCCATTTCTCCAGCCAACTTTCCAACTATCTATATCTCGCTGTATGAATCCTTTGATAGCCTTCTTCACTATCCACAACTCCACCAATTTTTGAGTCGTCTGCAAACTTGACATTTTTATCCAAATCATTATATATATTACAAACAATAGAGATCCCAGTACTGATGCTTGTAGAACAACACAGACCTCCAGTCAGAAAAGCACCCCTCCACAACTACACTTTGTCTTCTATGACCAATCCAATTTTATATCTAACTCACTAAGTCACGGTGGATCCCATGTGACTTAATCTTCTGGACCAGCCTATGATGAGGGACCTTGTCAGATACTTTATTAAAATCCATATAGACAACATCCACTACCCTACCCTCATCAATCACCTTTGTCACTTTCTCTGAAAGCTCAATTAAATTTGTCAGACAAGACCATGCCTACACAAAACTGTGCTGACTAACCTTAATAATTCCATTCTTTTCCAAATATGAGTAAATGTTGCCCGTAAGAATTGTTTCCAATAATTTCCCTACCCCTGATGTAAGGCTCACCGGCCTATAATTTAGTGGTTTATTCCTGTTGCCTTTCTGAAATAAAAGAACAACATTTGTTAATCTCCGGTCTTCTGGAATCTCGTCTGTGACTAAAGAAGATACAAAGGTATCTGTCATGACTACAGTAATCTCCTCCCTAGCCTGCCTCATAATCCTGGGATAGATTCCTTCAGGTCCTGGGGACTTAGTTACCTTCATGTTTTCGAGACACTCAATGCTACCTGCTCCTTAATATTGACATGCCCCTCCCTAATCTTACCATTATCCATATTCTTCTCCTTGGTGAAAACCGATGCAAAGTACTCTTAAGGACTTCACCCACTTCCTCTGGCTGCATGCGTTAATTCCCTCCATTGTCCTTCAGTCTACCTCTCCTTTTCCTAGTTATCCTCTTGCTCCTGATCTACATATAAAATGCCTTGGGATTCTCCTTCATCCTACTTGCCAAGGATATTTCTTGGCTCCTTTTAGCTCTCCTAATTTCTTGTTTAGTTCCTTCCTGCATCTTTACATTCCTCAAGGGACTTGTTTGATTCCAGTTTCCTAAGCCTTACATACGCTTCCTTTTTTCCTTTTTGATTAAACTTTCACTAATTCTTCTCATTCCAGGGTTTCTGAATCTTGCCATCCTTATCTTCCATCCTCACAGGAACATGCTGGTCCCGAATTCTGATCAACCAGCCTTTAAAAGACTTCCATGTGGATTTATCTTCCATCAGCCTCCCCCAATCTATTTTCTCCAGTTCCTACCTTTTCCCAGTTTGCCACTTTCACTTGATGACCAGTCTTATCCTCATTCAGAATTATTTTAAAATTTACAGAATTATGACCGCTGATTCC